TTATATAATGTGTTTTTAGTTTTAATAAAAATATTACAAATTTTTCTATGGGACTCTGTGTCCCCATAGGTGTATATATCAGCTTTTGCTGCCATGGGGTCACACTGTGCCACTTCTGGTTCTTACCGTGATTTAGGCAAAACTTTGGACATATTTTAATTAATTTTATAATTGTTTTATTTTATAGATGATATGTTTGCTGATGAGCAGTTTCTGCCATCAGATGATAAGTTTTTTCTATTTGTGTATAATATTTTAGTGTGTTCCGGTGTCTGGGTCCTGGTTTCCATGACGGCAGTGCTGGAATATGTGTATGCGGGTCTACAGCGTGGCTCCATCCCCACTGATGAAGTCCCGCCCAGGACGTAACACGTACGGGAGGAGGAGTCACACCCGCTGACGTCACACGCAGCCATCTCGTGATTTTGTCTGGTGGTTCTGATTTTAAGCACTTTATCTTGCACTTGGACGCAAGTGCCAGAATTTGTGAGTGTGATTTATTATTTTAGTAAAGCTTTACTATTTACAGCAAAGAGCACTATTTCTCTTGTTTTGGACCAGTGCAGGTACCCTTGGGAGTCTCTACCCTTATGGGAAAGTGTTGTATGACCAACCTGTTAGTTTAGAGGTCATACTTATAAGGTGAGCAGCCAAGAGTATTTTTGGGTGATGGGATCAAGCACCTTCTTCACCTAAATGAGTTTTCTGCCATGTGTATGATTCACCACTCTTGTCTATCCATATGGGTGGTCCGTATTCATATTGGAATATCTGCATTGGTGGTCCATTTTTTTTTATATAAGAACTATATGGACTCAATCAGCTATACTCTGCTTTTTCCACTTGTTTATTTTATTGTTCTGCACTTTTTCTGTTATTTGTAAGCCTTTCGAGTTTAGCTTGAAACTTAGTATATTGCCTACAAAATGTAAAGTAAAAATACATGCATTTACTAGATGTACTATACAGTTACAAGTTACTGGAACTTTAGATTCTCACCAGAGACATTTGTTTATTATGCATACAGTTTGCATATTTTCCCTGTATTTGCACAGGTCTCCTCCAGGTACACTGGTTTCTTCCCACAAACCAAAAACATACTGAAAAGTTAATCAGCTCCAGCCAAAGTGATCCTGGCAATTTTGTGACAGCGATGCTATGATGGTAGCGACAAATTGTTCAATGTCATATAACACACAAACCCACACACACTGTACATGAATACATGCAATGTTAGTTTTGAAAAAAAATATATTCAAAATAAATATTCATGGCCTTGCAGTAGCTAAAGGAAAATGATGGTATAAGTGAAACAGATGTAAAACTAGGTGAACAGTACTTAATTGTTTATCTTCACGTGCATAAATCACTGCAAAATCCTATCAAGTGTTCAATGCCCAGTAAGGTCAAACAGTTGCTTTATCTTACTGAAAGTACAATATACAGTGGTCTGTTTTGCATCATTCGCACATGCTAGGATCTCTGTTTTTCTTTGGAGGTGATATAGGTAGACTTGTGTTAATCACTTTCTCATAGTCTTCCTTATTTACAACAGCATCAAGATTGTTTTCATCATGTTACAATAAAATTACACAAACTGACAACTTAAAAAAAATGGTGGATTTATTTCAGTTGGGTCAATTCATGAAGTAAAGTGGGTTTTTTTATTGGGATCACATTCTACCAGATTTTTGTTCATGGTTTCTTTTTCATTTTTTTTCTAAATAATTTGTTCCCTTAAGCGAGGCATAGCTGCATGCTAACATGTAAAGCAGCATTCATCATGGAAAAATAATGTGTTAAATTTACTTTTTGAGTATTAATTAAATAATAACACGGTACAAAGATGTGATTATGTATTCATTTATCCTATTTTATGCAGTCAACACATTATGTTGTGAAAAAGAAAAAGAAATTAAAAAAAAAACTACTAAAAAATTGTCTTTACAGAATGTATTTAGCTTTAACTTCTTAAATTGTTTCATATAAACATGAACTAAACAAGCAAACCAATATTTGCTTTGAACAAACTACTTATTCAGTTTAACCACTTGCCCTCCAGAGGATTTACCCCCTTTCCTGACCAGGCCATTTTTTGCGCTATGGCTCTGCTTTATTTTTACTGACAATTGCGCGGTCATGCAACGCTGCACCCAAATTAAATTTACATCGGTTTTTTTCAACAAATAGAGCATTATTTTGGTGGTGTTTGATCGACTGTGTGGTTTTTATTGTTTTGCACAAAAAAAAAAAAAAGGACTGACAATTTTGAGAAAAAAAAAACTATATTTTTTACTATTTGCTATTAAACATGTCCAGTAAAAAATGTATAAAATCAAATTTCATCATACATTTAGGCCAAAATGTATTCTGCTACATATCTTTGCTAAAAAACATCCGAACATGTGTAAATTAATTGGTTTACATGAAAGTGTACAAATAGCGTTTACAAATGGTGGTATAAATACTGAGATTCGTTTTTTTTTTTAAATTTTTACTGGTAATGGTGCCAATCAGTGACTTATAGCGGGACTGTGGCAGTCATTCTGACATTGGGGGGAACTGACTTGGTGTCACTGACATCCCCAGTGACACCAATACAGTGATCAGTGCTAATAAAAAGCACTGACACTGTACTAATGGCACTGAGCAGGAAGAGGTTAACATGTGGGGTGATCAAAGGGTTAACTGTGTGCTTGTTTTACTAACTGCTGTGTGTCTGTGCTTCACTGTATGCACACTGCTATGCATGGCAGTGTGCAGGAGTTGTCAGGGGAGAGAACTGTATTGTTTACTTACAGTTCTCTCCCTCCGTCAGTCCTGCTTCTCGATCACCAGGTGTCAGCGAGTAATCACCGGCCGGGACCCGGTGACTGACAGCCGAGGCCACAAGTAGCGGCTTGCGCGTGCCCCCTACCCGAAAATGCAAAATTACGTGTGTATACAGTTGTGGCCAAAATTATTCAACCCCCACTGAAATTGAGTGTTTTGGCCAGTTTGACATTGCTTTTGATCATTCAGTCATCTTGCTTACATTTACATTAAAGAGGCACTTGTAGGTCAGACAAATATAACATAACAGTTATAATGAAATAACCACAAATGTCTTTTCTGTGCTCACAGCATTATCAGTTTTATTCAACCCCCAAGTGACATTCAATCTTAGTACTTAGTACAGCATCCTTTTACAGTTATAACAGCTTTTAAACGTGAAGCATAGCTTGACACAAGTGTCTTGCAGCGATCTACGGGTATCTTCGCCCATTCTTCATGGGCAAAGGCCTCCAGTTCAGTCACATTCTTAGGCTTGCGCACTGCAACTGCTTTCTTTAAGTCCCACCAGAGGTTCTCAATCGGATTTAAGTCTGGTGACTGCGATGGCCACTCCAAAATGTTCCAGCCTTTCCTCTGCAACCATGCTCTAGTGGACTTGGAGGTATGCTTGGGATCATTGTCCTGTTGAAAGGTCCAACGTCTCCCAAGCCTCAGGTGTGTGTGACGGACTGCATCACGTTTCCATCCAATATCTCCTGGTACTGAAGAGAATTCATGGTACCTTGCACACGCTGAAGCTTCCCTGTACCTGCAGAAGCAAAACAGCCCCAAAGCATGATTGACCCTCCACCATGCTTCACAGTAGGCAAGGTGTTCTTTTCATCATAGGCCTTGTTCTTCCTCCTCCAAACATAGCGTTGATCCATGGGCCCAAACAGTTCTAATTTTGTTTCATCAGTCCACAGAACACTATCCCACAACTTTTGTGGTTTGTCCACATGGCTTTTGGCATACTGCAGTCGACTCTTCTTATTCTTTGGAGACAGCAAGGGGGTACGCCTGGGGAGTTCTGGCACGGAGGTTTCATTACGCAGTGTGCGTCTTATTGTCTGGGCTGAAACTTCTGTACCCACATCTGACAAATCTTTTCTCAGTTCCTCAGCAGTCACACGGGGACTTCTCTCCACTCTACGCTTCAGGTAGCGCACAGCAGTCGAAGTCAGCATCTTCTTTCTGCCACGACCAGGTAGCGTTTCAACAGTGCCCTTTGCCTTGAATTTGCGAATGATGCTTCCTAAGGTGTCTCTTGGTATGTTTAACATCTTTGCAATCTTCTTATAGCCATTGCCCTTCCTGTGAAGAGAAATCACCTCTTCTCTTGTCTTCCTGGACCATTCTCTTGCCTTCACCATGTTTGTAACCACACCAGTAAATGTCTAGAAGGAGCTGAGTATCACAGTCATTTTAAAGCTGCCTAATTGGTGCTTATTATGCTTGATTGCTGCTCGGTGACATCCACAGGTGTTTTCAATACCTGATGGAAAGCACCTGTATGAACCTCTGTTCTTCAGAGTGGTAGTCTTTAATGAATAATTGTGGCAATGAAGAAACCACATAAGAACCATTTACTACTGTATTACATAAACAATTGATGTCATTTTAGTTGCATTTGGGTAGTTACAACGTCCTTGTAGGATTTGATTCTGAATACAATTCCAAATGTACACTATAGTCCCTAAACCCCTTTACAGCATTGGGGGTTGAATAATTTTGGCCACAAACTGTATATACATGGTTTTGTGCACTCGGGCCACCCTGTAGCAGTATTACTGCTATAGGGTGGACAGGAAGTGGTTAATGACACTGGGGTTTATTTACTAAAGCTGGTTCACTCAGAATTTTGTGAACTTCTGCATGGAAACCAATTAGCTTCCGGTTTTTATTGCTAAAGCTTAATTGAACAAGCTTAGGTTAGAAGCTGATAGGCTACCATGCACAGGTGCATGAGATTCTGAGTGAACCAGCTTTAGTAAATCTCCCTCACTGGGTTTGTCTGTATACTCTTAGTAAGTGAAACTTGATAAAACTGTCCTTAACACACAATGTAAAAAATACACATCTAAAAAACTTACTTTTTTTTACATTTTGCAGGTATTCTGGAAATCAGAACAGTAACAGTTGGAATTGTTGCAATCAAAGGAGTGCAAAGTGAATATTTTCTTGCTATGAATAAATCTGGAAAGCTCTATGGAAAGGTAAATACTATATTGTAACATACATGTGACATGATGTAACGTGCATGTGACATAAATGTACAGATTTGAGTAGATAAGATGTGATCAGTAGCAAATGTAATTGTAACTGCAGGGACATTCCATTGTCATTAAGGATGTACTGTATATTCAGTCAGAGGTACTCAGACACAGAGGCATCAATGAGGCTGAAAAGCCCGGCTTCCGGGATGTGACACCTTTGTGTTAATAAGGTTGTCACCTTCTGGTGAAACCAGTTTAAAAGAAGTGGCTCCAGACATTTCGGCTTCATGACAGCAGGGGGCTCGATCTGTCTGGGGGAGCTAAAAAGTATATCCATACATCAAAAGGGGTATGTTTCATCTCTCATAAAAGCTAAAATATTATCAGAGAGATGAACATGCTCCCTTCTTGTAGAGCATTCTGTAGGCTACATCGGCACTAAAAATCATATTTGTGGTTTAGGCAGAAGGCCAGGAAAATGCAGGAAATGGTAAGGTGGCGCTGGATTGCGACAGTCGAATGGTGTTTGGTACTGTCGCGATCGGACTGATATGCTGGTGTCGGAAATCCAATCCCCGACTTGGTGTTTCAAGCCGGCCTTAGTCCGATTGAACTTGGGCAGGTCAACACACATATACAAAATGTGGCAAAATAGGTTGAGCCAATATAAAATCTACCCACATTAAATCTATAGTTTGTCATTAAAGTGTGTTCAGTTTCCAGGCCACTAAAGTTCCCAAATGTCCTAAATTTCTAAGGAAGGTCTTGCTCTTAGGCTCCATTTCACACTTGTAATGCAATGCAATGCAAGGCAAGGCAACACATTAAAAAGGATGAAAAATCCTAAATGTTTCAGAGGGAAATTGCCCTATCATTGAAGGGAAATCTCTCGAATTAGACAGACAACAAAAAAAAAACAAATTGACAAGGGTATTAACCCTTCCCTATGCTATTCAAAAAACTAAAGACAACATTTTGGCTATACTTAACTATAATGAGAGGATAATGTAGTAGTCCTAATCTTCAGAAAAAAAAATCATTACCTTGCTGTCATGCTGATTCAGTAAATTCATCTTTTTCTGAGTCACTGACCTAGAACAAGAATGCAGATTAGGAGCTCTGACTTCAATCTGGCTTTATTTCTTCATGCTTGTTCCGGGTCAGCAACTCCAAAACTTGAGGCTAATGTCATCAAAGCAACTACTGTTTTCAGAAGGATATTTGTATCACTATTTTCTAACTGGAGCTGAACATGCTTTAAGGGTTCAAAGAAAGCTACCTGAAGGTGGTTGAAACTTTACAAATGTTTGTTAAAAACAAAAAAAAAAAACTGATATCAACTCTGCTGCTTAGACATGGTTCACAAATTGCAGCCATTGTGAATTGGACATGCTAAGAAGAAAGCGTTAAAAATCAACTGAAATTCAAATATTTGGGGACAAGAGACCCAGGATGAATAAACACACATACTTCACACCCAAATTGAGGGGGGCTTTGGGTATGCCAGATTAATCAAATACTATTATGCTGCACAGTTGATTAATCTGACTCGTTTTCATATGAGACATATACATCTGTTATGTATGAAGTTAGAATCGTTCCTGCGTCCACCAGGTTAATTAGCCACTTAAGGTGGATGCGTCCAAAAGACACATCAATTATATTATGGCCTACATTCTCTCTCCACTTATGGGACAGACTGGCACCCAGATATGGATTCAGGTCTCTGCATACAACTCTGGCTCCATTACTGTGTAACCCAGCTTTCATTTTACCTGGTGATTCAATAAAGGTCTGTTGCACATTGCAGATCTGTGTGACCATAGAGGTGTGTTCATTGAAACAATATTTACAAGAAAAATACTAGCTTTCTGATACAGGAATTTTTAGGTATTTGCAGACTGTACATTTCTTGAATGCCTTAAAACACAATTCTGATTTGACTTCTTCTACCTCAATGAAATACCTACGTAAGAATTCAACAAACACACTGGCCACATATCTAAACTTTATAATATGCTGACTACTAGTCATACGAAGTTGTTCTATATGGACAAATGGGAACAGGACCTGAGCGAATAGATGAAGGTGGAGGATTGGTGCAAGCTGACTCCGGCTGCCTCTAAATCATATATTAATATCTCTCTGATCAAGGCCAACTAAAAGGTATACTTAAGATTGTATATGATACCGGTGAGAATAGCATCTTGTGTCGCGGGGGCCTCTCCATCATGCTTTAGGGGTTGTGTCCATGAGGGGACAGTCTTCCATGCATGGTGGTCCTGCTGTCCGAAAGTGAGGAGGTTCTGGATTCAGACATATAACTTTATCTATTCCCTCGCTCAGGTGAATTTGATTAAATCTCCCCAACAGGCTCTATTGGGATGTCTACTGGAGGGACTACCGAGGCACACAAAGAGACTCATTTCATTAAACTTTGTGGCAGCAAGAAATTCAATTGCAAGGTCCTGGAAGGCCGCTTGGTCCCATTTATTTTATTGAAGGCCAAGTTGTCACGGATCAAGATAAGCGAACCCCTCTTAGCACTTTTACATGACAAGTTGGCCTTTTTCAAAAAAACCTGCGATCCTTATGTAAGGTATCTTTCAACTTCTCTCTGAGAGGGTGTAGACGGTCCAAATACCATCAAGATAGGGCATACTCTTCTTCCTTCCCCCTCCTATCTTAGTTGTCTTTTACTTTCTTTGATCCATCCTGCTGTTTTTCCTTTCCATCTATAGGTGTTTTTTCTACATGGCATACATACACATACATGGCATACATACATAAGGCTGATAACTATAGTTCAATGTGTAGTCTACTTGGAATTCCGGCCCAAACACAGTGGGTGTGAAGTCTCCTCATGGTAGCTCTGTCAAGTGTATACCATCAAACCGCTCTCATAAACTGGAAAAGTTAAGTGTAGGATGGAATACTTTGGTTATTTTGATTTGACTCAAACTCTCCACCACTCTTGACAATTTATTTTTCTGCTACTGTGGTTTTTTTTTTTATGCATTCAGAGAGTTCTAATAGCCTAATGCATCTATGTTGGCTTTTGTACATATTTTACTGAACAAAAAAAAAAATTAAAACTATTGGAAAAGAATTTCAAATATTTGCTAATGTACCTGGTTGTCAGTAACAAGCATTTAAAAGCATAAGTATATAGAATTTTTGACAGAAAAAATTACAGCTGGGGTTATATGCGACCATACTAAATGCAACTGCTGATTAGTTGAGTAATTATTTAATGTTATTTTTACATTTCAGAAATTGTGCAATGAAGACTGCAATTTTAAAGAGTTGATCCAAGAGAACAAATACAACACATATGCATCTGCCCAGTGGACACATAATGGGAGAGAGATGTTTGTTGCATTGAACAATAAAGGGTCTCCAATTAAGGGAAAGAAATCCAAGAAAGAAAACAAAAGTTCCCACTTCCTTCCAGTGCACATGTCCTAACCGCTGTTCACGAGTTCCAGCAGAATATATATATTTTTTTTATTTTAATAATAATATTAATAATAAAACATACAAAATGATACAAGTAAAAACAAAGCTGGATCTACTACTGAAAATCCAAACAAGCTGGACTTGCGCATTTACTTGGACCTAAAAGGACTTCTGCTCAAAATATACAAGGAAAAAATCGTAAATAATTTAGCCAAAGCAAGATATACTTAAATTCAGGATGTAAAAATTTTGAAGCGTTGTACAAACATATGTAGTCATAATCCTGGGGTATTATTTTTTTTTGTTAAATTATCCCAAAAGAAGGAGGATTGACTTGATCATCTGATGATTTATATTTAAAATAAAATCTGCTTGTCAAATATGGCTGCTATAATAAAAAATATTTTTGTGTTTTTTTTTATTATTTTAAAAGAGCAGATAATAGTGTTATGTAAAATATGTTGGACCATATGGCTGCTGGAATGATGTCAGATTTTCAAGTCAATTCTGCATGTAGACATTGAGCGGTACCTAAATGATTCTTAGTGAAGAAACTGTATGCACAACATAATATAAATGAAACAATATTTTACCTTTGTGACTATGGCATTCTAATTAAAATGTATTTATCAAATGAGGATATACCATTTGTTATTTAATCCTCACTCTTAAGAATGCCAGATGCTGCTCATATTTTAAACCGACAGTACTACAAATTCATTACTCGCTTGTCTATGTGCAGTTTGGTCTACATATGAGAACATCAATTTCTTGCAATACCGACTTAATAAAAGCATTTCAGTTATATGAAAAATATCTTGTTAAATAATGCCTTTGTTTATAAGAATGTATCAGTTGCAGACTGACTTTATCAGTGGTCATTACTAGTTCATTCAGCTCTTAAAATTAAAGTGTATGCAAACCCAAACTATAAACTTCTCATAGTTGCTCCCTTTTAATTTAGATCAGTTCCATTAGTGTAAAGTATACCTGTTGATCCTGACAGAAATCACTTTTTAAAGTGAGCTGACAATGCTGCACTAAAATCTCAAACTACAGAACACTTCCCCCTGTGCTATGGAGATGATGAGAGGAGGAGGAGCTGTTCTGCAGTTTAAATTAGGAGTGAGGAGCCTAGGATCACAATGCTGGTCCTCTATAGATATAGTCAGTAAGTGAGCATTGTCACCCTATGACAGAAAGTATGTTACTGGCAGGACCAATAGATGATAAATAAAGGGAATAGCCTCAAAAAGAACACTAATACAGCCACCACATCTAAAGACTGGCAAGCTGCAACATATAAAACTTTTTGTCCTTGGGTTTAGATACACTAACTGTTTTTCCCTTTAGTGCAGTTGTTGCAAAGATATTTCTTGGTTACAAATTTCCTTATGAGTATATGGTGCCCTAGAAAGGGTTGCAAAAACATGAACTGCAGACTCATGAATATTGAATGAAAAATCTGTGAAAATCTGTTCACACTGGTCTGTATGATATATGTTCTTTGTACATGGCCACCAAAAGCTGCCAGACCTTCCATTATCTCTTGGAGTGAGCACACAACTGTATATCCAATGTTCTATACTTTTTAATTCAACACTCATTGTAATGTATAGTAAATTGTATGCTATCATAAAAACAGACAAGCACTCATTCAATTCAACAGCTATGTAAATTCAAACATTTGTGAAAGCACTCCTGCTTTGGGTGAAAATAAAAAAGGTTTCTCATTGCTCTTAAAGGAAAAAGGTGTGTTTTAGAGAAAAGAAATACGATTCAAATTTGCTTTTTTTATTTTTTAAAGTTCTGCACTAGTATTACACTGAATAGGTATGTTGCTGGTGTGGCACATGTGGCATTTTTCACTTTCCTGTTGAAACCAGAAACACATTCTAAAATGCATAAATTATATTGTTTAATTGACACTAAGCGATTTCCTAATTCGCCAAAAATAATTCATACAAATCCAGTAATTAAAGGCCCTGTAATCTATTTTTTGTGAAATAATTTATAATTTATAACTGCATTCTTCAACTTCTTTGTAATGTTCTCCATGAGTTTCTGAACCTCTCTTTTTCCCCTCATTTCTGTTTGCTAGGAACAAGCAGTGCTCTGCCTTATAGACACAAAAAAAAAAAAATATGTAAAAAATAAATACTTTTTTTTAAAAAAAGGATTTTTGGAGATTTGGAGGAGGCTGAGTGATAGAAGGTACTTATTTGAGTTAAGAATATATACTTGAATTTTTATTTTTTTTAAAACCAGAGTTTAGTGTCACTTTAAATATTTTTTACATCTGCAGAGCCTTAAAGTGTATCTAATTTAATATGTTTTTATTTCAGAGAGAATAGGGATGTCTTAACCACTTCCAGTCCAGTCGGACACTTTTACCCCCTTCTTGTCCAGGCCAATTTCCAGCTTGCTATCACACTTTGAATGACAATAGCGCGGTCATGCAACACTGTACCCATATGATTTTTTTAGCATTTTTTTGAGACAGATAAAGCTTTATTTTGGTGGTATTTATTCACCACTGGGATTTTTATTTTTTTTGCTATGTAAATTAAAAAATCCAATAATTTAGAAAAAAAAGTGTTTTTCTTATAAAAGTTTGCAAATAAATAGTATTTCATCATAAATCTTGGCCAAAATGTATTCCGTTATATTTTTAGTAAAAAAAAAAAATAACCCAAATTAGTTTATAACCAAAAATTATAATTTTTAAACATTGTTTTTACTTTTTTTTTATATTATTTTTTTTTTACATACTGTCACCCTAGCAGTACAGTGTCACCATGGTGACACTGTACTACTTGTGGGGGGTGATGAAGATTTTTTTAAATTTATTTTTTACACTGATTGCTTTTACATCCATAAAGGATGTAAAAGCAATCATTTCTCTCTCTGTGTGCATGCTTGCAGCCATTGAGAACTACTGAGTGAGCTGTGATTGGTCACAGCTTGTCACATGGTACAAGGCTGTTGTAAATAGCCTTGTACCATGTAACCTCTGTGATTATTCACAGATTTCACACGTAGTAAGCAATGATGTCACAAGTGACATCTTGCTTACTACTCTGCATGTGATCACTGATTGGCCAATCAGTGATCACATGATTGGGACCTCGTACAGATGTCCCGTCTGACGATCGGTGTTCCACTGTGTCCGGAGGACACAAACAGGGTGCGGGGAGGCCATTTATAAACGGCCACCCGACCCTGCACTGCCAACGTCTGGCCATTTATATACAACGGCCGGACGGGAGGTGGTTAATAACCCAGTCACTAATGTTTCCAGCACTGGAAGTAAAGGAGACGCTAACATGTTGACCGGAACAGGACTAAAGGGGGAATCTTCATATAGGGATGCTTGCTACAGAAAAAAATATCCTTCACGTTCGAGATTTGCCTCTCAATTTCTGTTGCATCTACTGGCTTTAGATAAATTTTAATGTAAACACAAATACATTATCAGAACCTAAAATGATACTTCACATTGGTTCCCTGTAAATTATTATCCCTGCATAGTAGTAAAGTCACCATCTGCAGATGGTAGTTTAAAAGAAATGTTTTAAACCTAAAGAGAAAACCAATTATTAGAGGCAAGATACAAGCATGATGTAAAACTAAGGCACACTCTGATGCCTATGTTTTTCAACTTTACATCACATCTTACATCATGCACTTCTGAGTTTGCTAAATCCATTTACCTGGATATCCAAAACTGCCCTTGAACTTGAGAAGAGACCTAGCATGGCAGATTGCAGAAGTACTTGATCTGTAACCTAAAGCAGTGGAGCAGTCACAAAAGTTCAAACAACCACATGCAGTTCCCCCCTCCACTGTTATTCAGCTGAACTAGTCGTTAATATTTTATTAATATTACTTACAAACTTATAAAATATACCTGAAGCCTTTTTTAGGGAATAGTAAAAACCTATACATAATTTATTTTTTTTTGGGGGGGGATTTTCCCTCATTTTCAGTCCTGGTAACAATGTTCATTAAGTCAAATAGAGAGTGTGAAGCTTCCTACTGAAAAAATAAACACCCATAAAAAACTGAAAAAGGTTCAAACCCTTCCTTACTTTAAATATACTTTAAATACCTTTCTGTTACAAATTTTGACCAGAATGATTAGTGAGAATGGAGTCTTAGACGCAGAAAAGTAAGTTATAATCCAAGTCTTGACTAATGAGAAGATCTAGAGTAGCATTACCTTAGCTTAATTACATAAAACATTTGTTTTTGTTTGTTGTATTTGACTATTAGGTTGCAGCAATGGTTTTCTCATGTGGTTTTGCCAAGGATATAGGTTTTGCAATGGCTATGCAGAGTGTTACTTTAAATGGCTTTCAATCAAGTTGCAGCAGAAGCAAATAAATAATTCTAAAGACAATTAATTGGGATTATGAATTTAAAATAAGTGAGCATTTTCTTAAAGTGTATGTTGATCCAATATTTTTTTTTTGTTTGTTTTAGACAGCTTGGGTAAGGGTTTTCACTGTTAGAGGGCTCCATTAGAGAGAATTCCTCACTTCCTGTCTTGTTGACATCCCTTTACCAGACAAATATAAGGGATTCTGTAACAACAACACAGTTAGAAATAAAAACAAAAATTAAAAAAAAGCTTTTCTTTAGTAGAGTAGGAGAAGGCTTGAACCTGTCAGCTTTTAATTTATGTGCCTGTGTTGCAAATTCCCCCTTACTTTACTAGAACAGAAAGTGACAGAAAATCTCTTTAACAGAGCCCTCGGCTTCAGTAAAAACAGAACAGAGGTTCTAAATATTTACCACTTTATTTAAAACATGGAGAAAAACCTTTTGGCTTGACATACACAAAGTTGGTCAACAACTGTAATTCTCAGTCAAGTACAACATATGTAATACAGTGCGGGTAATTCATACTTCATCTCTCACATACAAGCAGGACAGATTATCATTTGTTTAATATGTGATATACCCTTTGCCTTGTATAACTCCTTTAAGAGTACACAGCTTTAAAT